CTAGGACCCATATATATCTAGAATATAGATATGGTCCATGACATTTAGTCATGTAACTTACGTGGAGTTTGCATGACTAATAGTCAGTTGGTAGTGGGTGACTGAAGTGAGCGCCTGTACCAAAGAAAACCACTGTGCTTAGGCTATTCATGCCAGGTTGTTTCAGGATCGGGACTAACATAAAGTTGTAGTCCTCTCCTGTGTTGAACAACATCCCCCAGCATACACTGGATTCCTGTTCACAGTGTCCACAGTTACTGGCATATTCTGCCCAAGGGGTAAAGCACTTACCTTTCCTGTGTCAAAAATTCTCAGTACATTAGCGTGATTCATCAGAAGATGAGAGAGCTACCACAATAGGAGAGCCTGTCTTACTTCTGACCTCTCCTGTCAGCAGTAACGGCTGGCTTAAACAAGGCCAACTTTGAAGCCTCTAGGTCTAAAAAAAGGCCAGTGGAATGGAAGGCAGCAGACAAACAAGGCCACCTTTGAAGACTGTTGGGCTAAAAAAAGGTCGATGGGACAGAAAGAGCCAGGACAAACAAGGCCAACTTTGAAAAAGGCACTACCACTCAGTGACACAGGGTAAGACCCTCTACTATTCATATTGGGTATTACAGTCATCCACGTGATGATGTTACATAATCACTCAGTGATACACCCAGGAGGCATTTTGTGTCTCCTGGCAGAATGAAATGAGCTACTCTGCTCATTTTTTTTCCAACCTTCGGAGATAATGCCTGCAGAATCAACCATCAAAAAATTTCAATGAAAAACACACTTTCAAGTAGTAAAACTGTGGAGCATGCCAGGTAAGGTATGAACTTTGGATGTTTTCAATCTTATGCAGAGAGCCTCAACGTAAAAATGCTCTACCTAGCCCTAACACTCATGTATTTAGTGATCAGCATGGGTAATGCCATAGTCTCTTCACAGGAACATTGCATCTTAACCAAATCTTAACATTAAATTAATATTTCACGAAGACCCCACACCCATGTGCATGCAGACCCTGGTCAGAATCTTTCTCGAGTTATCCTTCTTCCTCAGACAACTCTTTTGGGAGCAGTGATGGTTCTGACACAATCTTGGACACGTCTAGTAGCTCACAAAACAGTTGAGAAGCCAGGAAAAGGCCAAGGCATAGGTTCAAATCACATTGAAAGCACAACATATGCTTAGCAAGCCTTGCCATCTACTCATGTTCATGAGTGCTCACTCCAACTACTCACATTTATGATCTCTCGCTTCATGTATTCATGTATGCACAGGTGTACAAATGGTTACTGTTAATTCTAATAGCCATTCATTCACTTAGTGCAGCAGATTTGCTTCAGAAAGTTCACCAACTTGCAGCTGCAAGGCTAGTTCATGGTTCTGTATGTATATGCCAGAGTGGGCCCAGTATTTTCCTTAACCACTAATCAAGCATCCCCTCATTTTTCTCTTATAGCTATGGCTGCCCAAGCCAAATCTGATGTCAACAAGACTAATGCTTGCAAACAAAATGGCCATAAAGTGGTCAAATATTGGCCTGACCATCCAAAGAGGGTTGTGCAAATGTGGCCTTGTATAACCTGACAACTGGACGTTGACAAGCCCGATTCTATCAGCTACATACCCTGTTCAAGTTGCTTGCTTTACACATTTGAGTTCCCCAATAAGTTCAAGTCATAGAATAGAAAAGAACCAGCTTTAATTACCAAAAAAGTGATTACCCTACAACAATCCATAATCACCTTACAATGTCAGGGGATGGGAAGCAGGCTGGAGTTCGGCAGCTGTGCACTCATGTGCAAGCAAGTCCTCCTCAAGATTCTTGACACTCCCCAGCCAATAAAAGCCAAGTCCTTCCCCTTTAGCACTGTCAACAACATAATTAAATAGATTTTGAAGTGTGATTTGAGTTTTGCAAGCTCTCGACATTCGAGATGGAGGAACAACTGTGGTAGCAGTAGGCTGAGGCTGAATCGGTTGTATCGAGGATGGGGTGTGGTCAGTGTCATGTTCCTCTTCTTGTTGTGAGACTGG